TGTTGCAAACACGATAAATTTTAATTCAAAGTCACATTCAACGGAATTGCCCTCGCCGTTGAAATCACAACTTACGTTCAGTTATGATCGCGAATGTCTGTCACTGTATGTTTGATTTTGATGGATTGTACCGTATACACCATTATATCTCTGTCGTTCCTTAGTAGTCGTAATACATCTCTGTTAACCGGCTCACGGACCAACATAAGTTGACCTCGCGGCCAAGGTCAAAGTTTGACGTCGGGCAAAACGATAGTGGCATCCCTGACAACATCGTTTTGTATGCCATCGATCAGAGTTAAAAACAACATTTGGCCATTTTGGAGGTTATGTGCCAATGGTGTATCATCAGTTATCACTGATATCACAGTATATCAACATGTATCTCAAAAAATATGTCGGTAGATGAAAAGTGAAAGTACAAAATGTAAACACGACGATTGGTGCTTGTTTACTCAAATTTCATCTTCCGCCATATATTCCATGGCGTTTATATAAACTAATGTAGTCGTTTTCCAGATGAACAAACATCTATTGTCGAAATAATAATACAGAAAAAACTGAAGAGGTGTTATTGGATATAGCAATGCACTCTGGTAGATATTACGTTATTCAACGATGTCTTCCTGAATGACATTGTCAATCCATGCTAAACACTTCAGTATTTCATTGTTTTATGTTATAAGTCTTAATTGGCCTGCCTATTCAAATTAACCCCTAATTAGTGCACTGCTTGATCCCAGTATGTTAATTAGTATGTTAATCAGCTTATACCTTTTACATTTAACTGGAAATACTTATTTTCTTTTATTTCACATTGAAAGGAAAACACAAACAGGTAGAATAAAAAGTGTTAAAAATTAAATTCAGGAAATTCTAGCGCGAGTCTACGTCAGATATTTGACGTCACCCTTGACAACAAGACGACACCAATCTATAGGCTGATTTACATGGCATTCTACCACTTCATGCTGTTTTCTGATTAAATCGTTACAGAATCAATATTACAATATATATATATATACAGGAACTCAAAGGATTTATCATTTCATATGATATTTTATGAAACTAGAAATAAAAGTTTTATCGGGGTAAAATTAAATATTTGGGACAAGTTTTATAATATCTCACATGGTATTAAATCTTGAAGATGCATTTTCCACATCGCTGAGAAAAGTGACATTTTCAGTTTCAAAGTAAAAATGTGGAAAACAAAATTAAACAGAGGTAGACATTTTTAGGCGCCATTTTTAATTCATGACGTTACGTCATTGTACATATAGTGACATCACAATCTATTACAACACGCGTATCAAACTGCTTTCTAAAGACACGATAATAAGTTTACCCAGAATTTTATTTAGAAAAAGTAGTATTCATTATTTTTAGTCTATCATACATTGTGGTTTTATACAATAAATTAAAACTGATTTCCAACAAAAATTGAAGATGTGTTTGATGAAAAAAAACCTGCCTTTGAACAGAATTTTAAGCATGTTCTATTTTTTGTTTCTATGATTACAGGTATAGACACACCACGACAACACAGTGTAAATGGCGGACGCCTATTTAGTCCTCGTGTAATCAGCAATGTCTTACACAGCACTGGACGGAGTGACCTTGACGAAGGAGAAGATAAACTGTTTCTGATCTTTTAAGGACACTTGTATCGAAAGGTATGGCACTTAACTGAGAAAAGACGCTGCTCATTTTAGCAGAAATACTGTAAAAATATTATTTTCAGCAGTATATTCTTTTCATGTTTAGATACAATTGGAATAAAACATATTCATTTTTTTCGTGAAAATTATGAAATGAATGTATGTTCTATTTTCAATATAGCACCTTTTCATGATGATAGTTTGTCTTTGCAAACAACGAAAATTAAAACTGTTTTTCAGAAACTCTACTCTATCCAAATTACAAGAGGTACCTTGTTAAACTGACTACACAATACAATAGGGTTTTATTAATTTATCACCATGCCCTTCGTGACGTCATGTCAGGTATTGCGTCATATATACTGGTTGTTGTATGTAAAATATCACATATTATTACATTTGAATGAATGAATTTGGCTGATATGTAACGAAGAATATTGTTTAGGTTTTTCTTCTTTTTCCATGGTTTTTTATGACTGATATTTTGCTCTGTCATATTGTTGCAGGTTTTAATAATTCCGGTATTATGAGTTGTCCTTTCGGTCAGTCTGTAGCGGATCAGATCTACGTTACGTATTGGTAACTGTATACATTGTTTACATACTCCTTTCAGTTAATTGGTCGGATGGCACAGTGGTAACACCAAACAACGTTAAAAGATATGTTATCAACCTTCGAGGGTACCCCGCTTTCCTTCCTAGGCAAGACTCCTCGAGTGATTGCATCCGGGCCAACAAGTGTTCATACAAGTTAAAATCGTCGCAATTGTTGAAGATAAGTTATCTGATAATACAGAAAAAATACAAAAATGTAAAAAAAAAAAAACAAAAAAACAAACAAACAAACAAACAAAACGATGATATATTATTTCTTTTGTAAGTAAATTCCATACCTTTTAAAGCTATGATTAAAAAGAAGCCGCGAGAAGTGAATATGAAATGGAATAATTTCGAGATAGATCTAGTTTTATTTCAACAAGTGTCGCTCTACCATAGAAATTTTAATATTTACTTAGCGTAGCAGATCGCTATCATTTGTTATCATATTTAACCGTCTTCATTATTACAATAGATCTCCCTGTTTTCCTATCAAGATACCAGGAGGTGACCGTCGATTTCGCTCAAATTGCATGAACTTTGCAAATACCTTCATGTACACAATATGTATTATACAATCAATTTTAAACGGAACGAACCACAGCATTCAAATGGACGTCATGTGTTACAGTCATTATTCAAATGCATACACGTTATAAGCATTTAAACATTTGAAAGAAAGCAAATTAAGATCATAATGTATTCAGTTCAGAAACGACAGTTATTTATCTTAGATCATAAAATATAAATGTTCTGACGACGGCTAGTCTGGGAGTGTAGGACAACGATTTACAGATAAATCACCACCATGTTTCTGACGTTTTTATGTTTAGAACTGTGATTGGCGCTTTGTAAACGAGTGACATAATCCGTATGTTTTCCTGTTCCGTAATTAGGCATCACTTGAAAGTTATTATTACAATGACGGCGAACATCACACGACATACCATTACGCTTATTGATTAAATATATCATGGCTTTTACGTACGCAGTTGAACTTTCATCTGTGTCTAGTTATTGATCAACCTCCTAAAATATGGAAAATCACAATGTGATCCATTTGTCAGGTAGCGCCTTATGTTGATATACATGTGTGAAATTCTACCGCGGGGCGAATCAACTGGAATTATGAGGTGTTAATGACTGTGCTATCATATCTTACGGCCTGTGAAAAAACCTCGAAACATCGAAAAGATCGAGTAATTAAACTTAAAGTCCATAAACGGGTAAGTTAGTAGTAATATGTATAGGAACAAATTTCGGGCCGAAGCAAAAATTCGAATCATCAAAATTAGTTTCCTAGAAAGTTTTACAGTACTAAAAAATCCAATATTCGCGTGCCATTACTGTTTACGGTATTTGCGTGAGCAGTCCACCCGCTAAAATTGATGGCCGCAAACTTGGTTTTCAGACTTGTTTTTTCAAGTGAATTAAGACAAATAAAAAAAAGTACGAAGTCACGTGATGACGAACTTTTCTGATTTTGTTGAAAAGAGAACAACGTTAGTCGCTTTCGTTTGTAGATTTAAAGATTTTATACCATCTTGTTGTTCTTTGAGTAATACCTGTGAACAATAGGAACAACTACGAGTTTTGCCATTTATTGATAACGAAACAGGTGTGAAATGTCAGTTATTGAAATAGGGTTTCTGAAGACGGGTCCAGGAGGGCTGCTCCTACCAGCGAATAACAGCACGTGTACACTTTCTAATTTTGGGGAGTTCTGTGTCCTGCTCCCACCAGCAGATAACAGCACGTGTACACTATCTAATTTTGGGGAGTTCTGTTTTGATGCCGGTAATTTAGAACTTGGCATTACTTGATAAGAGTCTTCCATACCGAATCATAACCTAATAGATATGATACATTTTTAATAATTACAACGGACGATGTTTATGGTGTTAAAGCTAGCCAACCAGCTGCATAGTATAGAAGTGTGTTTGAGAACAGTTTTTTTTTGTTCTTTGATCTGTAGAAATCTTTATTTTACTTGCATTTATTTCTAAAAATCACGGAATTACGTGGAAAACACCCTACCCCCCACCTTCTCGTGGCCAATCTCAAACTATTTGTAGATACACTGGGAGCAAGGAGACATGCTCAAATTCATTTATCACTATTATTGCCATTGAAATGTAGAGAATCAGCAACATTATACACGTGTTATTTTTCAGTAGTAAAGATAGCATATATTTGGTATTTTCCACTTTTGAAAAGTAATACTTTTGCATACTTACACCAATGAAAAAAGAGAACATATCATTTAATAAGTTTTACAAATCATAGTACTCGTGACATGAATAAGTAACATGTCTTTTTTTGTGAATATAAGAATAAATTCCCAACGAAATTCATTTGTGTGTGTATATATGTATATAAATACCTATTTTTTAATTAGACTATATCTTTTCGCGGACTGCGAAGTTACAATGAGTGAGTAATGTGCTAAATATGTAGCCATTTTGGTCAATATCTTCTTTATATCATATAGTGATGAGGAGAGTGTTGGGATCTTCTATATTCTGAGTAAAAAGTATGAAAACACCACATGAAGAAATGTTTACAGCGTTTCATTATACTAGTCTTATAGTTAATTACCTTTTTTAAAAAATGTTATTTTATGTGGTGGACACACGGACAAGATAAATAATTTTCCTGTTTTGAATGTTAAACATCATAATTGCTAAGAAATTAAGCAAACATTTTCTAAAAGAAGTCATTGACTACATAATCTTTATTTTTGTCACAAATTAATCGCCTGAAGAGTCGCAGGCAACGCGAATGTCCATAGACGCACGGGGTTGTTTGGTACCATCACCGCTGAATTGAAGAATTGACGTGACGTCACTGGAAATACGTAGACGTGGTGTCTGGATCGTTCAATCCAATGGCGTAGGTCGATTCTCGGTAAAGATTCACATCCAACAATTTGGTTGCTACATTGCGAAATAAGCATACATGTCATATCTCTTTAAAAAGGTTTTATAAACAGACAAAAGAATCCTATATAATATTTTTTTTTCGTTTAAATATTCTTACGTTGATTACAACGATGATTATAAATGTGTACACAACATCCATGCTTTTCAAATAATAAGTTCATTATTAACTATTAGTATCGACTTGACTTTTTTATCGTTTCAGTCAAAATGTATTATACATATTAATCAATTCATTTCCTACAATTAAATTTACATATCCTTAAAGCATATTACAACAAATCAACAACAATAACACAGACATGTCAATACAATCTAAATAAAATCTGTTTCAGAGAAACATTTCATGGAGACTCTTGAAATAAGATCAGGTGTTCCGATAGGCAAAATAAACCCTTATTGATACTTACTACAGAGAAGGTACCTTGAAAGGATTTTTCTGGATTTGCCTAATACGAGTGTTCCGACACATAATTTGAGAAAGTCGAACTTTTTTGATTTCATGTAACTGGGCTGAAAGGGAAATTATTTGAATATTGACTTTAAAGTAGCCTAAGTCAATCTTGATCATATGAAAAAAAATGTTTCCTGAACAGCGTAGTTATAGCTCTCTTGATATGAAATTGCTGAGGAAGTATACTAGATGATGATCTTTAGAAAAGTCTAGAGATTGGCAAATTAGGATCAATTTTGATAGGACTCATTTTGGACGCAGAAATATACACGGACATGTACATTGTTGAATGTCTAACAAGGTTTGTGTTGTCTAAACACTGACATTAAGTACGTTACTGTAAAGTCATATTTTCCGTGACGCTCAATTTCGTGGTTTGCGAAAAATAATTTTTCATGAGCTCTTTATTTCGTGGCCTAATTTATGCTACTATCCATATCGATTTGTGCCTTTTTATTATTTCATGGACATACACATTTAGATAGCGATGTACATACGTATATACGTTGTAATTAAGATGATGTCTTTTCAGTTAAAGACTTGTTTTTCTATCAAATTTCCTTCTGAAATGTTCGATAAGCCTTACTTGCTTTGTACTTACCTGCTGTAAATCCAACACCTGGGAGGTTGTGTTCGTACCAGAATCTGTCTCCCTCTTTCAGTAACTGGAACTGCTTGGCTAGGATACACGAGAAGGTCGGACCGGTAATTGAACCTTTAATTTTAGCCTCAGATAGGCCACCCGTGTAGAGGTCAATATCATCGGGATGCCTTTGATAAGTAAATAACAATAAAATATTTTGTGAACGTGATCAGTATAACTGTAGTTATGTGACATTTCATACGGGTACATCTTTTTAATGTTATTAAAATGACACCTAAAATGCTTGACAACCAACAATATGCAAGATCAGACAAATTAAAAAACGTGAGATTTGACGGATTTCACAAATGTTTTCAATGTTATTGCAGGCATTGTTTGTCTGCAAGAAAAGAAGAAATATTTGTTGACAAATAATAGAAAGTGAACTCCATAATGTAGAATTGATCTTCATTCGCGCGGATGCTCTCATCATACGTATTTACCTACTTGTAAACTTTGGATAAAAGAATTGCTGACAGAGGGTCGTGATGTATGAGTCCCCCAGGGCTCGCTCTGAAGTGAAGTGCAGGATGTAATCCACACCATTTCCTCCATGCATTGTATGAAGGCAGACCATGGTCACGCCCTCTTTGAATATTAATCGCTGCCAGGTCGAGCGCGTCACCACTTTCATTTAAGAATAATTCATTCCTTGTAGCATCTTGAAAGAATCTATCCTGTTTCGCTTGTATAGAATTAAGCTGCCAAAAGTTCACTTTATCAACACCTTGTCCATTGTCAGCAAACAATAAATTCGGTCTTAGGTAAGTAAGCTCTGTTGGTACTTGGATTGCATACTGAGTGTGCAGATCCTTTATTCCCTGGAAGCTTGGAACACTGGAATGTCCAAATCTGAAGGCTGCCGCCCCGAAGACGTTGGCTGCCGTAGGATTGAGCTTTGGATTATACACATTGTTGTAGCCTCTTGGTGAAGAATACAGCCCATGCACTCGCATGTGTATGTCACTTAGGACGTGTGGTAAGTATTCATTGTAGTTGATGTGCTGAACAAAAGCTGCTATGATTTTTCGAGTTTCTTGGAAAAGTTTCTCATCAGACCAGAGAGGATTGTAGTAGTGAAGCTGTTTAGCTATCCTGTTATGTTCTCGAACTAAAACTGTATACAGAGCCGCAAGCGATGGTACCAGGGTGTTTCTTTGGTCACCTAGACAACGCCAAAGATTTTCATATTTGGATTTATACCCATATCTGCACAATGTTCTACTGTAGCAACATTTTTATTACAGTATTAACATCAACGGAAATAGAAATGTGATTATGTCAAAACTTTTAAAAGCAATGCCCAACTTGATAGTTAATTTATAGTATTGAGGTTAGACAAAGCAAAAAAGATCGAAAAGGAAATTAATAATTTTCTGTTCGGACTCTTTGATTCGAATGAATTTTCTTAGGAGCGAGCAATTTTCACGTCGTTCACTTGTTAATCTTATTCAGGTTTACAAACCCCATGCATTGAACAAAAAGATGTGCTTATAATGTATATGAATTCCGTTAACTGCGAACTGGAATAGGAATTCATGGAGAAAGGCCCAATATCAATAAAGGTGATCGGTTTAGGACTCGCTGTGATGTCGGGTGATTTTGAAGTGGTGGGAAAGAAGCCCCAAAAAGGGAGGAAAAGAATAAAAAAAGACATAGATGTATCAATGTTTCGAAATTAAATAATGATGGCGACATTTCTATATGCACGGCAAATCTATTAATTTAGTATACAATTTACACAATACAAAATTTAGTGCTGGTTTAAGCATTTGTGTAAATCTGGGGAAAATTGTAATAGTCTAGCTGTTACTTCATATCAAAATGTTCTTTTGATAAATTTTAGCAAATATCATAATACAAGTACAAAATTTGATATAATAGAAACACTATGAAAAAACACCTTTTCGAATAATACAATATATACAAAATTGTATATTACCGGCATCAAAACAGAACTCTCCGGGATTGGATAGTATACATGTGCTGTCGTCTGCTGGTGGGAGCAGGCTTCCTGGACCCGTCTTCAGAAAGCCTTTTTACATAGAAGTCATTTCAAACATTTTTGTTATCAATAAAGACAAAATCGTGATTGTTTCGGTAGTTCGAAAAATCAATAAACAAAAGCGGCTATTGAAGTTCGCTTCTGAACAAAGTTGTAAACATTCGTCACCATCTAATTTCAGGAAATCCATTGGTTGCTAGGAAGGGGAAAATTGTATCTCACTTGGAGTAGGGAAAGACAGCTGGAACGCACAAATGTAGCATAAACATTTTAAGTAGTTTATCCATGTCGTGAACTGGTAACGTCATCAGTTTCGACGCACATTCCATGGGACATTGTGAGAAGAATAATCAAACATTGGTCTGTTCCACATGAGCATATCACAATGAGGGCTTGTATGGTATATATAACCAGTAAAAGGGACCACTGAAACACCAGAAAGAAATTCACCAGACACCAGTTTCCGGTACTCGGCCGAACAATGTTCGAGTTTTACATCTTCAGTAGTCATGTCATGTAGCTATGTCTGTCAGCTGAAAACCAGATTAAATTCATATGAAATCAGCCGCCATTGTTGTTGACATTGCCAAATTAGCAATGGGGCATATTGTCTCTTCAGAAAACGTACCTAATTGGTCAAGGAAAAAGATCGACCAATCACATCCGTCATTTGAAAAGTTTATATTTCGGAAATGTCAACAACAATGTCGACTGATTTAATTTGAATGAAATACTATGCGTATATTTCTGGTATAATTCTTGACCAGTATACTGAAATGGTTTTGTTTTGGAGTTTGTATACGTTTATAGATAACTGATGTCACTAGATAGTGATTTGATTACATGTACAACGACGTTTTCACGGGATATCAGCCTTATTTGTGCTGGATCTCAGACACAGCTTGAAATTAGAAATCGCCGGCCTTGTTTTGCATTACCAATGAGCGAAACAATTATGAATGTAGTCTATTTATTTGAAATCGTGTTTTTCTTATCGGTGATATATAAGTGCTCATTTTGGTACTCAATATGTGTAAATCAAACGGTATTTGGCTGACTACTTTTCATTGTTTCATTGTTGCGGTGTTTCATTGGTCCATATTCAGGCTATAGTATACCAGACAAACTCTTCTCCCTAAGAAGCATGATCACCCTCACCCAATGACTCTCTCAAGGACAGGGATATATCATCCTTCGTGTAAGAGTTTGGCTGTTCAGTACTCGGCACACCTCGTCCTGAAAAGCCAAATTCTCACAAGAGGGGTGAGTCATACATGTCAACGGAACAGACCCATGTAAAATCTTATCAGTAAATGATGCAATTTACTTATTTTACTAGTTACATTAGGCTTAAGCCTATCAATTGCATTTGTCTTTTTTCAGTTTTGATTTAATTATTTATCAATTTTATCATTATTTAATATTACATAATTGTAACAAGTTGTCTTGGTCGACTGTTGGCCCGTAATCATCACTGTTTGAAGTCAAATTACATCTGTATGCGTTGAATTTCTGTTGAATGGTATTGGATAATTTCCAGATAATTGTAATGTTATGAGAAATTACCTCCGTTTCCCTGTCGCAGTCGGTTCTGGGTAGCTTGTGTTGATCCATATATCATCGATGCATCTATGTAGGATGTTTGCTCGTTTATCTGGTTTCGCACGTCTGTAAAAGAGGTAAGGGAATAGCTTTATGTTCTTGAGCTTCTCTGTCATGATTATTTTCTCAAAGATTTAAAATGTTACAAGGCAATATTTACCTGTTTTGAATTTGAGTGATAGATTCCTAAATAAATAGAAAGATTTTTTATATCTAAAATTGACCTTACTTTATTGAGTTGGAATGTTATAATGAATTTTTCATCTTTAAAAATGCAATCAAAACAAGTTTCAAGTCATTGTTTTCGAGATAATGATGATTCAAATCCTTACCCATATCACACATTGGGGAAGGTGCCGTTGCCGATCTCACAAAATTCATGCAATTTGAACGAAATCGACGGTCATGTTTTGGTATCTTGATAGGAAAACACGAAGCTCTTTTAAAACAATGAAGACGATTAAATATAATACCAATGATAGCGATCTTCTGCTCAAAGAGAGACTGTTCTTAAACAATATATTGAAATTGATGCATCGAATAAAATCAGACTAAATCTACCCTAAAATCACGTTACTTTCTCACATTTTCATTTCTTATAATGATACTCATGGGAGGGGGATCTCATGATCTTTTTTATAAAAACAGTTTCGTAAAATAGGGATTTTATCAAATTACATTCCTATTAAGTAGTCCTTGTTTCTTTTCAGTCTGTTACAATTACCAATACGTAACGTACATCTGATCCGCTGTAGATTGACCGACAGGACAACACGTGATATCGGAATTATTTAAACCTGCAACAATATAAAAGAAAGGAAGGATACCAAGAACGTTAATGAAAAAAAAAATCTTCCTTAAATATCAAAATAATTTTGGATTTAACTTTAAGATGTAATAATGGAATCTAATTAAGAGAAACGTAAATAGATGAAGTAATACCGAACATGACGTCAGGATAGATATAGCGATAAATCCTATTGTAATATGTAATCAATTTGACGAGTTAGCTCTTGATTTGTAGATAAAACAAGTTTCTGAAAATGCTGCTATTTTCAAGAAGTGCTAATTTTAATTCGTTCCGTATTATTCACGAAAAAGACTTCTTTCACAAATTTATTCCAACGCAAAAATATGAACAGTCGAAAACGATATATTTTTTTTGCTTAAGTATGCAGCTCCTTTCTTTCTGTGTAGGTAAAATACGGTACCTTGCGACACACTTGTTCCTAAAAGATCGAGAGCGGTTATTGTTCCCCAAGACATCAACAGCACAGAACGACCTCCTTCGTCAAGGTCACTCCGTCCAGTGCTGTGTAAGACATTGCTGATTACACGAGGACTAAATAGGCGTCCGCCATTTACACTGTGTTGTCGTGGTATGTCTATACCTGTGATCATAGAAACAAAAATAGAACATGCAAAAGATTATATTTATTTTTCATTATAGATAATGGTCTATTTTTTTCATTTCTACCAGGAATTCTAAAAAAAATGGTCTAAATGGTTTGTATACCACGAAAATATAATATAAACAGAAGTGATGTATATATCTTTATTCTGAATTAAGATCTGAGTATCTCAAAACTGTACAACAACTGTACGCGAGTTACAATGGATTGTGATGTCACAAAAGGGACAATAACTTTATGACATAAATTGAAAATTGCACAAATATTGTCTTTTGTTTGCCGCATTTTTAATTTAATACATTTCCAGTTTTATTTTGAAGTGACAAGATGAAAATATCTTACATGTTGAGATTAAAAAAAAAATTCGTTATTGCATTCCAAGAAAAAATCTAAGATCCGTTCGCATTTCTCATAAAATCCCATTTGAATTGAAAAAACCCTATTCTATATATACATGTATATAAGCTTTGCTTGTGTGTTCTGTATCAGTGTTTGTAGTCGAAGTTCATACTAGAATTCGGCACACTGTGTCAAGATGGTATTTTGTTACATGAGAACAAGGCATTATGGTAGTTTGATATGCCAAGTCGTTAACATATGTTCCAATAATATTACTATTCTATTTGAAATAATCTATTAAGAATGCATTTAAAATAAAAGAGTAATTGAATATATATCCTATTTACATAACTGGGTTCAGTAAAACACTCATCAGAAGAATTGGAATAGATTTAACAAAAACAACACAACATTTGAAAAATTCGCTATGGATTGTTTGCGTTTTTTCCAGCACAATATATATCACTGGGATAAATTGTGATAGATCGCCTCGTCAATTTTTGTACTTGAGTTGTGACTTAAATATCAAAGGCAATTTCATGGCAAGTGATTTGACTATCAAATAATTTTTACATCACTGTGCTGTTTAATTTATTGAAAAAAATGACAAGACAACGTTAGTTTGTGTTATGTAATTACACTTCCCGTATATACTTACAGTCGTCACTACCGAAAACCTTCTATAATACGCACTATCGTCACTACCGTAAACCTTCTATAATACGCACTGTCGTCACTACCGTAAACCTTCTATAATACGTAATGTCGTCACTCCCGTTAACCTCCTATAATACGCACCGTTGTCATTCCCGTTATCCTTCTATAATACGTACCGTCATCGCTACCGTAAACCTCCTACAATACGTACCGTCGTCTCTACCGTAAACTTTCTATAATACCTACAGTCGTCACTACCATAAACCTCCTACAATACGTACCGTCGTCGTTACCGTAAACGTTCTATAATACGCACTGTCGTCACTACCGTAAACCTCCTACAATACGTACCGTAATCGTTACGGTAATCTTCCTATAATACTTACCGTCGTCACTCCCGTAAACCTCCTAAACCTCGTTACCGTAAACGTTCTATAATACGCACTGTCGTCACTACCGTAAACCTCCTACAATACGTACCGTAATCGTTACCGTAAACGTTCTATAATACGCACTGTCGTCACTACCGTAAACCTCCTACAATACGTACCGTAATCGTTACCGTAAACGTTCTATGATACGCACTGTCGTCACTACCGTAAACCTCCTACAATACGTACCGTAATCGTTACCGTAAACCTCCTTTAATTCGCACTGTCGTCACTACCGTAAACCTCCTATAATACGCACTGTCGTCACTACCGTAAACCTCCTACAATACTTACCTTCGCCATTCCCGTAAACCTCCTATAATACGATCGGTTGTCATTCCCGTAAACCTTCTATAATAATAACCGTAATCGTTACGGTAAACTTCCTATAATACTAACCGTCGTCACTCCCGTTAACCTTCTGTAATACGTACCGTCGTCATTACCGTAAACCTTCTATAATACGTACCGTCGTCATTCCCGTAAACCTCCTATAATACGTACCGTCATCACTAAACCTCCTGGAAAACCTTCTAATACGTATATCTTTCTATTATACTTAGCGTCGTCACTACCGTAAACCTTCTATAATACTTACAGTCGTCACTACCGTAAACCTTCTATAATACATACCGTCATCACTACGGAAAACCTTCTATAATACTTAGCGTCGTCACTACCGTAAACCTTCTATAATACTTACAGTCGTCACTACCGTAAACCTTCTATAATACATACCGTCGTCACTACCGTAAGCCTTCTATAATACATACCGTCATCGTTCCCGTAAACCTTCTATGATACATATCATCGTTACTTCCGTAAAACTTCTATATTACTTACCGTCATCGTTACCGTAAACCTTCTATGTTACTTAACTTCGCCGTTCCTGTAAACCTTCTATGTTAATTGACGTCGCCGTTCCCGTAAACCGTCTATGTTACTTAACGTCGCCGTTCCCGAAAACCTTCTTTGTTACTTAACGTCGTCGTTCCTCAAAACCTTCTATGTTAATTAACGTCGCCGTTCCCGTAAACCGTCTATGTTACTTAACGTCGTCGTTCCCGTAAACCTTCTATGTTACTTAACGTCTTCGTTCCCGTAAACCTTCGATGTTACTTAACGTCATCGTTCCCGTAAACCTTCTATGTTACTTCCCGTCGCCGATCCCGTAAACCTCCTATAATACGTACCGTCGTCGTTCCCGTAAACCTAATATGAAACCTACCATCGTCATAGGCTGCCGGCAGGTATCGAAGGTATGGTCTCATGGAGGAGCCCCATGTGGGGTTCTCAAGGTTATTGCACGTGCCGTCGGCTGATCGATATATATCATTTGGATTACACTGTGGTATCGGGGTGCTACATATTGAGTTGATCTGCTTCCGCCATTCCAAAACTACATTTGGATCAGACTGAAGATGAGGAAGTGGTGTATTTGTTCTGTTCAATGAAAATGAAATATTATATGTCATTAGGGTTTTTGGAATTTGTTTTCTAGTGATAAAAAAATTATCAACCTGATTGAAACTTAGATCATCATTGCAGTAATGATGTTACTTTTGTAATTTTGACAACCAGAGTGATTTTTGTATTTACTGCATTGTATTTGTCGATTTTGTATTACAGTCATCCACGCTTTGCACGTGTGAAAAATAAATATACTCTATTACATGATAGATTTATGAAATTAAACGGGTAGCCACTAAATATCTTCTATGTATCAAATTTGCATTCAGTTCATATTTTCTTCTCGGTTTTATTCCTTCCTCCGAATTGGTGAAAAATGAAACCTACAATGTACTTAAAAATAACAACATTAACAGTACAATGTTGTCCTATCAATGTATGTAAGTAAATAATTGGCTATAGCAAAGAAGATATGGTGTCCTGGATGGAAATTATGTTATTCTCGAATTTTTGTATCATAAGTTTACTGCGCTGCAGATTTATTTTTTAAAGTCTGAGAATTCGCTTGTCATCAACTGAAATTGAGAACCCATGAAAAATGTTGATCAGCTTCTTGCTGTTAAAGGGTTGATGAATGGCAATTTCTAGTTCTAAAGGCTATGGAAGTTCCCGAGATTTTCTCCCAGTTGCTTCCCAGCTGTTTTATCTTTGTTATGTCTATTACAAATATCGACGTAATGCTTCAGCTTTATAATTTTAGCTTTTCCTTATTAACTGTTTAAAGGCTAGTTGGTTGTGAGACTCCTGAAAAAAGTACAAAGAGAATAAAACCAGTTGTTCTTGAAGAGTAAGCGTCTTCTGCTTCCGCCAATTAAATCCTCGGTCAATCCAAGCAAGTAATGTCACGTTCTCAATTAACAATTTATACATCATCGGAACCAACAAGCAAACTAATGAGCTTCATATAATTATAAAGAAATAGAAAATTTCTTATTGAGATCACTATGCTGACCTTGAATACTACCATCGTAAAATGAGTGTTCAGATTAAATTAAGAGTCAAACCTAAAAGTCTAAAATCGATAGCACCAATGGCATCAAAAGAAAAAAAATCGATATTATAATAGCGAATGACTCGAGTATGTTAAATTAACTTTCTTACCGACGAACCAGTTCCTTGGCTGATTGAACAGTTAGGAATGAATTATCATTCATCTGAGAGACAGCCACAGGATCTAAATATCGATGGGCATGACTCCAACCGTTGCTAGTCCACCTCGCAGCACTCCCTGAAATTCATATCGTAAAAAAATTGATTTAATAATTATTTTATTGCAAAACTTTGTACAATTGGATTGGGCACAAGTTTTTCCAACTTATTAAGCCCTCTCCATTACATGAATGATAAAACAATACTTAATTACAAGCAATGTAACAATATATTGAATCATAATATTTTTCATTGAAACAAAAAAAAGAAGGATGTAAAGAAGAAAGGAGGATAGGTGAGGAAGGAAGAAGGGAATATATAGTACAAAGGAAGAAATGCAGAAACTAGCCAAATCGCCCAGAGGCATCAATAAATTTTTGAACAGCTCTAGCTAAAAGTGAGTTTTCAGCTGAACTTAGTCGTACGTCTCCATTTAAAAGTACATCTATCGAGATATCATCCTGATACCACGACAGTTCGGTGAACAGGGTGTTACGAATTTGAATGTAGTTCGAACAATGAATTAAATAATGAAAGGAATCTTCAGAGGGATGTCCGCAGGAGCAAGATGCTGTGTTCATGAGATTGGCTCTGAATAGGTCATAGTTGAGTGAGCTTGCCCTATTTCTTAAACGACAATGAAGAATATTCAGTTGACGGGGGCTATATGATAGGAAACACGATTTAAGCTTGTTGGAGTTTTTTGGACGTAGTTTGGTTTTAAACAATTTTAGTAAAAAATGAGTTGCCGTTAATAGTTAAATAGCCGGGGAAACATAACAGATTTTGTTTTTTTTAATTTGAAGTAAAACACATTCAAATTGTCAGTGATTACATCGCCAAGATCGACACTCTTTGGTTCCATAAATTGTGTAAGTAGGGAAGACGCGGTTATTGTTCATAGTTCCAACATACAAAATTATGTATTATGTGCTATTTTGTCTCTTCTTATACCTGCTTGGTAAAGTTTTTCCTTCGCTTGTTTCTCTAGTTCAAGTTTCGTGACTGCCGCAAATATTGAGCTCGCTATCATATTAGGAAGAATAGGGTAGTTCGTAAATCGGACGGAAGTCGGACGTGACGCATTTGCTTGAACAAGGCATACAGCCATCGTCAGAGCCATGGAGCTCACTTTCAGTATTGAAGTCATTCTCTCTCTGAAAAAAATAAAAGGTTTGATCCACGTGCTGTTACTATACAGAATCGATGTCCTCCCCAATATGAACAAAGGTAAAAATCAATGTGACATGTCGTTAAATTCGATGCCTCCAGCACACATCTTAATCAAATTCCCATGTTGGGTTAAATATTATCAGCCAAAACGAGATGATGAAATTGACAACCTGGCAGTTAGATTTATCTTGTATAGCCATATAATTAGTCCGGCAATAACAGATATTGTAATGTGGTGACATAATTAGAAAACATCCGTCAAGCACATCATCATCTGGAGATCTTTTAATGCATTCACAATCAAGATAAAATGTTACGGAAGATTTGAAACGTTGTTTTAATAGTTGCTTGGAATTTTGGATTCTTGCATGATTTTGTATTGTTCTAACGTAAAAAGTAAACGTATTCTAGGACCCATATGACAATAATATAGCATAAATTATCTAAATTATTTTAATTTTTCTTCCTATTTTATTGATGTCATTTTAAAGATTTAAGTAAGTCAGGAAAGCAAAAAGCACATCCATGCACATAAAATCTCAAATGTTTTATTTCTTTGATTTGTCAACTGAATAGGAATCAGTGTTTTATTTAGCCGTAAACAAATATGTAAAATCATAAGGTGACCTCAAATCATAATCAAAATATAACCGTTCAGTGTAATCTCTCATCCCTGCACTTTTATTATTATCATTATTACAGATTTAAAAAAAAACTAATACTTTCTGTTGTCCATTATCGATATGATATTACTATAGGAAATACAGCATGCCTAAGTACATCTGATGTTTCGCAATAAGTAAACACATGAAAATGTAATGGAAGATAATGTTTTTAAAGAGAGCTAATTGAACGAAATTATACATTATGAGAAAAATGTTTTAAGATAAAAACAAAACGTATGCCTATGTTGATAAACATTTGTATTTTTTTTTTTTTTTTTTTTATTTATTTTTTTTTTTTTTGTAATTACTAACCATATTGGATATTAACCTAAAACGCCGGAGATTTATAAGCAAAAGAAGTATTACCTATACCAATAATATACTGACATTGATTATAACACAATATTTTCGAGCATCTTACCTCACTTGAAAAAAAAGTCCAACGCCTATTTTCCAATGGCCATGTAAGTAGAAAAGTAGTATGTGAAAACCATGGATTGTCAGAGTTCAATCACACCATTCAATGATGAAAACTTCCTGTTGAATAAATGTTGATCGGATATATATTCGTTATCTAAAAAATTCATTTAAGATGTGAAGCATATCGCACATGTCGGACATTGATGGATCGTAATCCATTAATCATTTACATTCTTGCCGCATGAAATAGGTTATCACAAACATTAACAATACATATCTTGTTCCAGAATTAATATCTTTTATCAGATCATTCACAACAATGACACCCTTTCCTAGCCAGTCCTTAAGAAAAACTGATTTCTTATCATTAGTTATTTGATTGTTGAACCATACAGGGCTTTTCAGGAATTCTTCACTTTCCTTATGTAATTACAATGGTGTAGATTTTTATATGCTTTGAAAACATGAGACCAAAACTTCTTTTTACATTTATTTTGACAGCGTTGTATGTATTCAGTACTACAATTGGCCATCAGGTCTAAGTTTACATATGTTTTTAGAATTACTTGGCACTTTGGAGTAGATTGAAAAAGTCTTCTAATCCACCCGAGCTTAAGAGAATATATAAAGGCTGTAACATTGACCACTTTAAAACCACCATCAATGTTATCCTGGGCAACAACTTCTCTTCTTACTTTGTCAGTTTTACTGTTCCAAAGAAATTTATATAGCACTGAGTTTAATGTAGAGACAAACTTGTCATCAGGGTTTGGGAGCGAGATAAATAGATGGTTAAATTGTGAAACCAAAAGAGATTTAATTCTGTTTATTTTACCAATAGGGGTTAGTAATCGTCTTTTCCAGGAGCTATCCCTTCCCCATAGTAAGTTATGTTCAGGAAGGAATTGGTTTGTGCTGAAATTTTGAAGCCAATCCACACCACTTGAGTTTTTGAAATACAGTCAAACTTCGATGAATCGATCTTCGATGATTCGATATTCTCGCTGTGTCGATATTTTTACTTGGTCCCGACTATTTTCCTTATATATTTGTACTTAACTCACTACTCATGAATCGATCATTTATGTTTCGATATTCTCGGTGTTTCGATAATTTTCTACAGTACAAGTCATATAAATTCGTTCAAAATCACCATGAATAAATCGATCAAAATTTACCTGTGGTCACTGTGCTCGATGGTCAGTCGACCGAAAAAAATTCACACCTGTAGCGAGACCCTCCAGCGTTAATCTTTTGTTTACCGTTACGGTCGATCAGGACAATGGCATTTTACCACCTCTTGTATACAATTAGTCAATGACCAATAATTAGTTTGAACAGTAATATATGTTATGTTAGAAAGATTGATACATACACACGCCGAATTGAGGCAAGTGTTATTATTGTCAAATCACATGACGCCATTTTGAGATGTTATGGTAGTACTAATTACCGTACTGTAAAAACATGCGGAACGCACCTTACTCTCTAGAGAGATGGCTTGGTTGCTAATGGTGATAGTGTTTAAGAGTACTAAATAACTGACAGTGCCAATTTCGTGCTTTTCGTGACATGTGATTTTTCTGTTCCGTAAAATACATTTACCCATTTCGTCATTTACGTGTGATACTTCATTGCCATGTACTTCGAATGTTTCATGTTATTTATTGTTGTTTGGTCGTAATAAAATTCAATTTAACTGTTTTTGATTGTTGAGTCTTTATTTAAATCATTAATACACACATAATTGTTATCTTTTGTCTAAAACATAATGAAAAAAACTTTTAAATACGGACCCCTATTACGTGGACCAGCTATTTGACTGAACTATTTTTGTATCGAAGTCACGATGTATCGATATTTTTATGACGGTCCCTTGAATATCGAATTATCGAAGTTTGACTGTATTAATTTTTAATCGTGATATGCTTGCATAAAAGTTAAGCTCTGTAATTGATTCCTTCAGTGACCTTTCAGACCCATCAAGTGCCATTGAAGTGTCATCTGCAAACTGTGACAGAAGTATAGGACAGCCATCGACATCGATTCCCTTAATTCTCTCATTGTTTCTTAGTTTAATTGCCAACATTTCGGGCACATATAGGGGGCGACTGGGACCCTTGTCGACAACCCCTTTTTATTTCAAAAAAAGAAGACCACCCTGAAAAATTGTAACACTAGCTTTAATATGTAATGTTTTGACCTAAGAGATTAGACCATTCCCGAAACTAAAAAACCTGTCAATTATTTCATTTAAAACAGTTTTATTCTGTGTGCTACTGTGCCAGCAGAAGAAATTTTATATATAAAAATGTACAACATTAAGTAATGAAACGGGTCTCCATTTTTTTTAAATAAAATGTATGGGCTTATCTCCCTTTGGAATACATGAGATAATGCCACGCCTTTCAGAAATAGATAAACAACCATTTTCATATCCTAAATTAAAAAATCTGACCACAAAGTTCCCTACATGTTTCCAAAAACATTTGAAGAATTCAGAAGTATAGCCTTCTATTCCTGGATTTTTGTTATTTTTCATACCTCTCAAAGTTGTACTGGCTTCTGCTAGTGTGATAAGACCATCTAGCTTTTCAGAATCACATGGACTACTTTTATTTACATTGTACGGTTCAGAAAGATCATTCAGGTCAATATCATCTAAGTCATTATTCGAATCATAAAGATTCTCATCGAATTTATAAACTTCTTCCTAAATATTATTCTGGTTTTTTTTATTATTTTCCCATTTTCTAATTGTAATTTAGGTATAACTTTAGAAGTGATGTTTCTGCTTTCTAGACTACAAGAATAACTTATAGGCTTTTCCACCTCTTCAATCCACCTTGCATGTGATCTAATTATGCTGTCTTTGATTTTCTTTTCCCCGATTGACTGTAATTCTCTTTTTTAGCTTCTAACTCAACTATGTTTGCTTCATCTTGCTCTTCCATAACCTGAACTGCTTTCTTAAGGATGTCCTTTCTGATATTTTGTTGTTTTCCCCTATGTATTGAGTAGGATATAGTTTTACCTCTAATATTCATCAGTAATGTTTCAAGAAATAGTTGATCATCTATCAAAATGTCAGAATCTGAAATATTATCTAAATTAATAATATTATAAACTGAGAGACAATATTGAGCTTTTGTCTCAATAATACAAGTTTTCACCATATTTACGTATGTAGTAGAGTATTATTAAACTTCCATACCCCCTTAGCAGCTATAAATTCATTGGGTTTTAAGGATATTGTTGGGAAAGAATGATCCGGCCGATAGCCAGATTCTATACTTGATTTGTTAGTCTAGTAGAGCTTGTTTAAGTGGATTGCTTTTCCTCCATGTGTACCTCCTCATATCTTCATGTTGCTCTCTAAAAAATATCTACCAAGCCAAACTTATCAATGATTTCTAAAACCTTATCTCTGGCTTTAGGAACATTGAGATTCTTATAACTTTTATCATAATCAGGTTTGAGGTTCAGGACCAAATTAAAATCACCACAGATAACGATATATCTATTCATAAAGTCTTCAACCGTTTCAATAAGACTATCGTAAAACTCGGCGTCGCCACATAAATTCTATCTCTATGTCTAAGGCCAAAAAAATCCCAATATTATCTTTTTATCAATTTTTATAGTCTAGATATGTTGTCAAAGACTTTATTAATACATTTACTGTTACCATTGAAATAGATAATTCTCATAATAAATTTCAGTTTTTTTTCTGGGCCAATGCTCTGAAACGTTCGAGATAATTGCACAAAACGTTTTACACTTATCAAGCAAGTAATAACTTTTGTTTTTTAGAAGTTTTCCATTTAAATTCCTTTTTTTGTTACAATGGAAACAAATAGGCCAAATTACAAAGTTCGGTTCTTTTCAGACC